TTTTTAATTTTTTTGGGTAAATTTGTTCCAAAGGTTTTTTAAAAGGCAGTTCAAATCTTGAAAACTGTATTGTATTTTGAGTTTACAGTCTTGTTAGACAAAGACGTAAATGTTATTGAAGTCTTATTACAGGAAGAATAATTAAACTTCCTTATTAATGTGACATTTCCATGATTTGAACTAATGTATATGGTAAATTTATTGTACACAGTATTAAGTTACATTAACTACAAAGAGAAGATAAAGTATTGTATTAAATACTTTAATAAATTTGAATATTATTCTATGAGTTTCCCAGTTGAAATTATTGTCCCCTAGACTTAAAATACTTTAAATACTCGGTGGATCAAAAATCTGTTGCATAAGAAATAAATGGTAACAGGCCACATTCTGAAGTTCTTAAAAAATTTCTATTCACAACAACCACATATAGGGAAGTAAACACATACACACACTTCTATACATATATACTTAGTATACTAACAGCACACATGCCTAGGTGTATCAGGCTAAGCAATTCAGAAAGGACACAAATGCAACTAATTTGACATTTTATTGTGGCAATGTTTTGCTCTCAGGAACTCATCAAGCGTTACAAACAATACATGGACACAGAGGGTATACATAGGCTTAGAGTGAGTGTAATCTAGTGGTGTATGTGTAGTAGTAGTAAATTAGTTGTAGTATAGTAAGTCAATACAATATGGTAGAAACAATCGACTTGCATACGAGTAAAAGTTATAAAAGCTATTACTTGGTAGCATAAAAATAGGTTACACAAATACTGGTGGTTGGATTCAAGAAGGTCTGTTTCAGTGTTCCTTCTCTGTAATGTGCTGTGTAGTATTAGCAGCAGTAAACTGTGATGCCAGTTTTTATTGTTTTCGGAGAATTCTCGCTAAGACCTCAGGAATGAAGCCGCTTTGTTTTTGTTTAATTGTGCTAGAATGGTGATTAATGCTGAATTTAAGGCCTGTGTCCATGAATTGTTTGTAACAGCTTGATAAAGCTCCTGGAGAGCAAAACGTTGCCACAGTAAAAGTCAATTGTTGCATTTGTGTCCTTTACTTTACAGTCTATAATTCTACCAATAATACATTTACAGAAAAGTACAGAAAAACCCCAAAAATTAAACAATTACATTAGTCTTCAGACATCAATTAGTCTGAAATACAAAAAACAATAAGACCACCAGAAGCCATGGTTAGGATTCAACATTAACAGCTCAGGTTGCATCTCTCAGCAAGAAAAAAAAAGGAAAAGAAACTTTTAAGTCAAACTTTTTATCTCTACCAAGAGTTACAAGACTGAAAATTGTGTATACAACGATATGCCACAGTTGAGCACTTTTCATAATTATTATAAATGATCTCAATTTATTTAGTTAACACTACAATGATGCCTAGAAGTGTTTCAGAAACCTAGTAAGTGAAATAAAGTTGCAGAAAAATCTGAAAAGGAACATGCTATACTAAATTTTCAGACTTGTCCTGAACTCTAACTAGTTCTGTGGAATGCAGAGCAAGTCAAACAAAAATTCAAATTTCAATAGAATGGCTCTAAATTGATCCAGAAGCACTGAAGAAAATTGGAGAAAAAATGCATTAATGAGAGATTAGATTCCAACATACAGCTTTAAAATGTCAATGAAAGTTATACAGAATACATATAGTTTGTATATGACCTCAACTACATTGACTTACCAGTTAAACCTGTAACAGTAATTGGTGTTGATGGATATTAGTCTAAGACCAGGACGAATCAAGACTGAATTAATACACCAAACGTATGCTACTGGGTGCTGGTCCCCTTCACCAACTTCTCCCACTGGTCGGCTATAGTGTCATACAGCCACTGGATGCCAAACTTTTCCCACACTTCAGGGACTCTGGTGGCGGAAAAGCTGAAACCGCAAGATCTCAGGTTAATGACGGTACTTATTTATATTAATCTCCTGATTATATCTACTACTTATTTATTATTTCTGATAGTCAAACCATAATCTATTTAACACTTAACCTTAAACTGTCCAAACGTAGATCTATGTTCATGTGCGTAGCGCTCCGACCTTGATTTTCCCCATTGAAAGCATGTAAAAAAACGTAGATCTACGTTCGGAGCCCCCCCCCCGCACGTGGACGTAGATCTACACTTGGACAGTTTAAGGGTTAAATACACCCATTACTTATCTTGATTTACCATACCAGCTGTCTCCACCATAGTAGTGTGGTGATCCAAAGAAAGGGGACATTCAAAAATAATTACAGTGGACCCCCACCTTACGATATTAATCCGTTCCTGAGAGCTCATCGTAAGCCGAAATTATCATTACCCAAATTAATTTTCCTATAAGAAATAATGGAAATTAAATTAATCCGTTCCTGACACCCTAAAGTATGAAAAAAAAAAAAAAATTACCACATGAAATATTAATTTTAATACACACAAACTGAAGAAGACATGCACAATTACTACTCTACTAAGAATAGAATACTACATGACACTTGCCTTATTGAAGATCTGGTGATGATTGATGGGATGGGAGGAGGGGAGAGAGTGGAAGTTATTGTTTAGAAGGGGAATCCTCTTCCATTAGGACTTGAGTAGCAAGTCCTTTTATGGAGTTACTTCCCTTCTTTTAATGCCACTAGGACCAGCTTGAGTCACTGGACCTCTGTCACACAACAAATCTGTCCATAGAGCTCTGTACCTCCGTTCCTTTAAGACTTTCCCAAAATGGGCCATAACACTCATTGTACAGGTTGCCAACACGGCTTGCAGTAGCTGTGTCAGGGTGATTTTCATCCGTAAAGGTTTGCGGTTCAACCCACTCTGCACATTTCCTCAATCTCTTTTTTCAATTCCATACTAATTCTCACCCTTTTTACCACAGGGATGGCACTAGAAGCTTTCTTGGGTCTATGGCGACTTATTTTGCAGTTACAAGCACTAAAAACACTGGGTAATGTGAAATGTACCGAATGTATGCGTAGATGCGACCGCACTGGCAGGGTTGTAAACACTGGCGCTGAGGCCACACATGGGATGCATCCTGAACAAATCATGTAAGGCGAGTTTTTTTTTTATCGTGAGGCGAGGCAAAATTTTTGCGTTCAAATGCTTCATATGGCGGATTTAATGTAACGCGATGCGTTCGTAAGGCAGGGGGTCCACTGTAATTCAATAGCTGTCTTGTCAGAAGCATGCGGACATCACAATTTAACAGTGACCCTCTCATAACGCCCCACCCCTGCGTGTCTCCCCTGCCTCACCACCCAACTCCCAGTGCCACCCCATCTGTAGAGGGTACTTCTCCCCTAACCACGATGTCAGCGATGGCACTGCAGGGAGTGCCGGGCTCACAGGAACTTCCACTACAGGGACAGCATCGTGGAGTTCGACCGCGAGGCAGCTGTCAGGTGTGCCACAGGCAGTGTGTGTACTCAGTTCCTCAAGCTTCAACATCCGTGCACACGAGGGCCTGGGATCTTCAATCAACTTGGCGTCCACCAGGACGCTGACATGTCCCTAGGGGAGCTCTCCATCGGGCTGCTACGGAGTCACTGGCTTCTTGGACCTCTTGGGGAGGGTCGATGGTGCTCGTGCAAGCAGCAGATCCCGGGGCAACTTGCTGCTGTTTGCAATGGCTGTCTACCGAGGAGAGACAGGCACCTAGCAACATCTGTTGTTGGGGCAATGGATGAATTCCCTGCTATGTTTGTTAATGCTCATTACTCTGTAATTTTCTATGTTGTAATCATGTGATAACGTGTTTATCATTCATTTACCTTTGAAACTTGTCATGATTTTGACCAGCTCTACCTGGAGCTCATTACCTTTGTAAATTCTCTGATTAATGTGTTTATGATTCATTACCTTTGCAATTATTCATGAGTGTGACCAGCTCTACCTGGAGCTCATTACCTTTGTAACTTGGTCATGATTATGACCAGATCTAGTTCATTACCTTTGTAACTTGCTCAGCTATCAAAACTTTAGAGTCCAGTCCCTGGACCAATTATGTACCTCTGTAATCTTTTGACTATCGCCCACAGGATGGGTATGGGGTGCATAATAAACATATTAAACTAACATCACAATTTAAAAGACCCTCTGAACTACATCCCTATCCATCCTACAAAATGCAGGCATCATACTTTTCACCTCTAGGGCTCAAGTCCGGCTAACGGTTTCCCCGAATAATTTCACAAGTGCTACCTTGTTTGCACCAACACGTCAAATCCTTAAAACCACTTCTCTCCACTCAAACTGAACGAAAATGTTCATATGCCTGCTGGATGCTCAAGCCCCCCCTTCCACTTAAAACTTTCACACACTCTCCAACTCTTCCTGGGATAATCCCTTCCACCCAGGATTTATACACCCACTGCCATCCTATCCTGCTCCAGCTTCTCCAAATGCCCACAGCACCAACTCCTTTGCCCTCTGAACTACATGTGTACATCTTTTATAACCCCAAAGTTCTGATTTCTACACCCCTAATTCTGCTATAATTACCTCACACAATACATGTACTGTACTATCAAACATGAGATCTCCATGCTTCCAGCCACCTCCTCATTGCAACTCAAACTTCATACAAAGCTCACGTGCAACTGTTAGTACCACTGTTGCACCTCTACTTTACCACTACTGTTAACCTTCAATTCTTTAATATTACATTGCATTCATTTCCTTTATTAGCTAAATTGGAATAAAACATCCTTGTATTAAGATTATTTTTTTATGTGGCCACTGTGGGGTTAACTTCTAGTATATGAAGTCACTTGTTTATCGGTCTGCATACGGTGAAACATTAGAGAGTCAAATCCCAATAAAACAGTTTGATGGTTATACACCCCTCCCCCCTCCTCCTTTTGCATCAATGTGCTGGTAGAGGTCACATGACCTAACTAACCTCCACCTCGCTGTAGAGTGGAAAGAGTGTGAAACAACCAGCCAACGAGTCAAGACTCCTACTCAGCTCTTGCAAGCTGGACTGCTGATGATTCTCATCTGGTATGTATATTCTGTCAAATTGTGTAATACTCTATGAAGACTAAATATTCTACTCCAAAGGAGTATCTGTATATTTAAAGTCTCTCTATAACCATGCATTTAAGGTATTGTCTAGGAACTAGGTAATATAGAACATGCAGTAAGCGTTCTGGACAAAAAATACTGTAACGTGTGTAATTTTATATGCCTTTGTTTTATGATTTAATTAACTGCTTAATTAAAAAGAAGTTTTATTGAAGACTTTTACTATCTCTAACTCTGCCTATAGTTATGCTCCAATAAGAAAGTGTATGATAAAGGCTGTATATGGACCCGGGAGCATAACAACCACTACAGTGGTACATTTTTTTTTATCCACCAACAATAGATAAAAGTCTATGCAAAGAAGTGTCAAGTCTCCATCTACCTTTTTCCAACCTCCCCCCCCCTCATCTTTCATAGACCCATACAGTATACTGACATGGCCCCCTCCTAAATATTCAACTACATTACTTCCTCCATACTTTTTCAGTCCACTCTGATAATGAGATTTAGAGAGTATTTCTCATCCCTGTATTACACAGTACAGCCTCTCCTCACTTAATGACAGAGTTCTGTTCCTAAGACCACAATGGTAAATAAATTCATTATTAAGTGAGGAGCATACTATAATGGTAGTGGGTTTGTGTCAACCATCTTTGATATTGTTTTAATGTCACTTTTGCACCATTTATAACATTTTCAGTATATTTTGAAATGTTTATATAATAGTGTACTGTATACTGTAATAAACAGAATAGAGGAAATCAGCTCTAATATATATTAATTAGGTATGCATGCTGGTCAGAGAGCCTTAAACTGTCCAAACGTAGATCTACGTTTTTTCAACATTTGAAAGTATGTAAAAAAGTAGATTTTTTTTTTTTACATTTGAAAGCATGTAAAAAAAACTTTGATCTACTTTTTTTTTTGTTATATTTGAAAATATGTAAAAGAAAGTAGATCTACTTTTGGAGCACTACGCACATGAACATAGATCTGCTTGGACAGTTTAAGGATTAACAAGTACGTCACTAAGCGAGGCGAGGCTGTATACAATAATAAAAGCCCAATAATCATAGGATACACAGGATTTTGGGCAACATCCAATCTTTCATCACCTAGTATTTGTTACTCATCACCTTGCTCTTTTATACATTTAATTTACTTGTCTTTCACACCTTCCCAAATTCCTCCAACTTTTGCAACTTATTTTCAGAATGTTCCCAAAACAACCATCACTTGTACAACGTTATCTATATTATATTTGTGAAAAGCATGGGCAGTGCTTTCTGGTTGGAAGGGGATGGAGGAGTACTTGAGTATACCTGGAGGGTGTTCTGTGGGTCAACACCCTTGCAGCCTGGTCCATGACCAGGCCTTGTGGTGGACCAGGGCTCGATTAGCCAGGCTTTTACAGCCAGCCGCAGGAGACTTTTTGAAGAAGAGCTTTTATTATTTCAGTTTATTTGAAGGGCTGAGGGAATTTTTGGGAGCTGTTTTCAAATCACTAACTGACAGCCCAAGACTGTAATCTACTTCCTCCTTGGAATTTTTGGGAGCTGTTTTCAAATCACTAACTGACAGCCCAAGACTGTAATCTACTTCCTCCTTGGAATTTTTGGGAGCTGTTTTCAAATCACTAACTGACAGCCCAAGACTGTAATCTACTTCCTCCTTGAAGACATACGCCTGTGATAATGCATCAGTTCTATCATGCATCTAAAGAGTTTCTTTAGTTTAATATCTATTATGTGCCTCATACCCACCCTGTGGGCGGTAGTCAAAAGATTACAGAGATACCTAAAGGGTCCAGGGTCTGGACCATAAAGTTTTGATAACTGAACAAGTTACAAAGGTAATGAACTCCAGGTAGATCTGGTCACAATCATGACACATCTGAAGGCCAATGTGAAATAGAATCTACAGGTGTATTTTGACACCACTGCCCCCAGTCCTAACATACCTTGGGGGAAAATACTAAACTCATATGAACATACAGTGCTTGGGTAATAGAGGGCAATTGGATTTGATCCAGTGAAGGTAAAAAGTATTTCTCTGGATCAAAACCCCTCACAGCATCAAGGAACTTCTAAGGGGTATTACATGTTCAACAGTTTAAATGTGTTCCATAATCAGTAACATGCCACAAGTCACACACAGGAAGTCAGTACCTACAAGCAGGTGGCTAGAAGCGAGATGTACACACACATATAAGCAAGGCCAACTACTTCCCATGGATCATTTGGCCCAGGAATTGGAATCTAAATGAACCGTTGCTGATAGTGGAAAAAAAAAAATGACACTTGGTGGAGTCAACTTTCATCGAGAGTTGAGACCATTACATTGGTGTTAACTTGGTAAAGTCAAACCAAAATACTATACCAATATAAGTTTGTTCTACAATACATACGTCTTTCATTGATCCATATCCGCTAGGAACTTTTATTGACCTAAGAAAAGCTTTCGACACAGTAGACCACGGCATCCTACTTCACAAACTTGACCATTATGGTATAAGAGGCCATGCACTTGCATATTTCAAATCCTACCTTACTAATAGGAATCAGTATGTCACCATTAAAGACACAGCATCATCAACATGGCCACTTTATACTGGAGTTCTGCAGGGAAGTGTCCTTGTCCCCTGCTCTTCCTCATTTACATCAATGATCTTCCAAACGTATCACAACACCTGACGACATGACTTATGTCATCTCTCACCCTAAGCTTGCCACCTCCCCACCATTGTTAACGAGGAGCTGCTCAAAATATCAACTTGGATGACAGCCAATAAACTTACACTTAACACTGACAAAACCTACTATATTATGTGTGGTAGCAGAGCAGGTGTTGCGCAGCTTAACATTAAGATTGACATCACTAATTGCCAGACATAATGAGGGCAAATTCCTAGGCCTATACTCGACAACCTGAATTTCAACACCCATATCCAACACATAAAAAAAGTATCTAAAACGGTTGGGATCCTCTCCAAGATACGATACTACATGCCGCAAAATGCCCTTCTCACACTATACCATTCACTCATTTATCCATACCTCACCTATGCTATTTGTGCTTGGGGATCAACTGCAGCAACACACCTAAAGCCAATAATAACCCAACAAAAAGCTGCAGTAAGAATAATCACTAAATCCCATCCCTGGCAACACCCCCCCCCCACTCTTCATAGATCTAAACTTACTCCCTGTTCAGAACATCCACACTTACTACTGTGCAATTACATCTACAGGACCTTAAATTCCAATATTAGCCTTGACCTAAAACACTTTTTGATAGTTGTGACAGAACCCACAGGCATAAACACCAGAAACAAAACATTCTTGACATTTCCCCGTGTCCGACTAAACCTTATAAAAAAATTCAATGCAATGTGAAAGGCCCTAAAATCTGAACACCCCACCTGAAAACTCTAGAACTGCAGGACACATTCATCACCTTTCAAAACTACCTTTAGAATACATTCTATCTCCCTGATACACCCGTCAACTAACTAATAAAAACCACCTGGTGGTTCACACTTACACTCACTCACCCCATTTTGACTATGAACACAGAAATACGATCTTAATCTTAAAATAATGGAATCCTAACTAGTCTTAAGTTTGCCTGTGATGCTCCAATATCCCTGGAGTTACCTAGAGAGAGTTCTGGGGGGTCAAAACGCCCCGCAGCCTGGTCTGTGACCAGGCCTCATGGTGGATTCAGATCCTGAATCAACCAGGCGTTAATGTGGCTGCAACGCATATCCAAGTATAATACATAAAGGTGGTGACCATTCAGACTTTAAACACTATAGGCCCAATATCTAACTTACCATTGCTATCCAAAATCTTTTGAGAAACTCGTGCACAGGAGACTGTATTCAGTATAACGGCTCAAAACATACTCAACCCCTGCCAGTTTGGTATTCAGGGAAAAATTAAAGCACTGCCTATGACATCGCAATCACGATAAATGCTAGATCTGCTTTACACCCCTCGCATTTAGATAATGAGGTATATACACTAGGAATTTTTATGACCTAAGAAAGCTTTTGACAAAGTAGACCACGACATCCTTCTCACAACTTGATCCACTACGGTATAAGAGGCCATGCGCTTGCTTATTTCAAATCTTACATTAATAATAGTATCAGTACGTCACATTAAAGGACTCAGCATCAGGCATACACGGCACTTGATACTCGAGTTCCGCAGGGAAGTGTCCTTGGTCCCCTGCTCTTCCATCATATACATCAATGACCTTCCAAAACGGCTATCCCAACACTCTAGTATGAGAAACCCATTCTCTTTGCTGATGACACGGACTTATTATCTCTCACCCTAATCTTTGCTTTCTTGATAGTTGTGACGAACCCACCTCAGGCATAACACCAGACCACAATCATCTCTACGACATTCCCGTGTCGACTAAACCTTTACAAAAATTCAAGTATGTCTAAGCCCTAAATTGGAATACCCTACCTGAGAACTCTAGAACTGAGACACATTCATCACATTCAAAAACTACCATTAGGAAACATCTTATCTCCCTGATACACCCCGTCAACTAACTACACGAATACCACCTGTGGTTCACATACATTCAATTCACCCTTTTGACCATATACAGGAAATATTAATCTCAATCTTAAAATAATGAATCCTATTGATACTCCAATACTGAAACTACTGTACTGGCCCAAAACCAAATATGCGTTCACATTGCTTAAATCAAACTAGTATTTAGTCACTTTAGCCATAATACCAAACCTTACTCATAATTTGTATATTTAAAATAAAGAATTAAAACTCAGTTGCCCGAAATGATATAGCCCATGCTAAGACTTCTAGGTGGTACACTCTGTAATCACAATTTTTACTACATGTAAAACCACACATTAATCACCAAATTTCTGTAAACTCAGCATTGTAATCACTATAGAGAAATAAAATTTGAATCTGTATTTGAATTGAATTATGAGCCACAGGCCCGGCTGGTCAGGTACTGCATTTTGGTTGCTTGTCCAGTTGCCTGCTTGAAGACAGCCAGGGGTCTATTGTAATACCTCCTATGTATGGCTGGGAGGCAGTTGAACCAGTCTCAGGCCCTGACACTTATTGTATTGTCTCTTAACGTGCTAGTGACACCCCTGCTTTTCATTGGGGGGTGTTTTGCATCATCTGCGAGTCTTTTGCTTTCGTCTGTGCGAGTGATTTTCATGTGCAAGTTCGGTACTAGTCCTCAGGCATATTCCAGGTGTATATAATCATTGTCTTCTATCCCGGCTACGTTCCAGGGAGTACAGGTTCAGGAAACTTCAAGTGCTCCCAGCTATTGAGGCGTTTTATCTCCGTTATGGCGCGGCGTTCCGTGAGGTTCTCTGTACATTATTTAGGTCAGCAATTTCACCTTCCTTGAAAGGTGCTGTTAAGTGGTGCTGCGATTTACCAGCCTAGACAGAACAAGCGACTGAAGAGCTGTCATCAGGGTTGGCCATCCCTTAGTTTTGAAGGTTCTCAATTATCAATCGTCATTTTTGTCTAGCAGATACAATGATACAATGTTATGGTCCTTGAAGGCGAGATCTCCGGACATGATCATGGTCCAGGTCTTGTTTTCGACGTTGGTTTTTTCGCTCTATTTTGTGGCCGGAATTTTGTTTTGTTACTCTTGAGAAGTTTTAATTTCCCTAATGTTTACCATATCTGAGAATTGAAATTTTCATCGTTGAACTTCATATTGTTTTCTGAGCCCGCTGAAAGATTTGGTTGATGATCCGCCTGGACCTTGCAGTGTCTGCAATGGAGACACTGTCATGCGGTTTGGGTGGTTATCTGCAATGAAAAGACCACGGTTCTGTGGCTGACATCCTTGTCTATGTCAGATATTGAGGATGAGAAACAAGATGGTGAGCGGAGTACTGTGCCTTGTGTTCTGGAGTTTACCTGGAGAGAGTTTCGGGGGTCAACGCCCCCGCGGCCGGTCTGTGACCAGGCCTCTGGTGGATAAGTGCCTAGATCAACCAGGCTGTTGTGCTGGCTGCACGCAAAACCAACCGTGCGTGCCACAGCCCGGCTGATCAGGAAAACTGACTTTAGGTGCTTGTCCAGTGCCTGCTTGAAGAAAAAAAAAACTGCCAGGGGATGTTGGTAATCCCCCTTATGTGTGCTGGTGAGGCAGTTGTACAGTCTAGGTCGCCCTGCATTATTGTTATGGTCTCTTAACAGGCTAGAGTGACCCACCTCTTTTTGCATCTGGGGGGATGGATGCATCGTTCTGCCAAGTTCTTTTGCTTTCGTCTTAGCGAGTGATTTTTTTTCCGTCGTCAGTTCGGTACTAGTCCCTCTAGGATTTTCCAGGTTAATAATCATGTATCTCTCCCTCCTGCGTTCCAGGGAATACCGGTTTAGAAACCTCAAGCGCTCCAGTAATTGAGGGTGTTTTATCTCCTTCCCTTATGCGCGCCGTGAAAGTCTCTGTACATTTTCTAGGTCGGCCAGGCATTTTCAACTGCCTGAAAGGTGCTGTTAGAGTGCAGCAATATTCCAAGCCTAGATAGAAACAAGTGACCTGAGAGTGTCATCATGGGCTTGGCTCCCTAGTTTTGAAGGTTCTCATTATACCATCTGTCATTTTTCTAGAGATGAGATTGATACAATGTTATGGTCCTTGAAGGTGAGATT